TTGGTTCTGTTGTTGATGTTCAGGAACATCTACTTCCTTAAGGAAGAAGAGGACGGCTGGGCGGTTGGGACAATCGTCAGCGACGCGAGCGTGCAAATCATCAGCTTCGCCGAGGACGTCAACGTAAGATCATAACCGACATGTGTTGATTGGTTCCAAGCCTAGTGCTGCTGGATAAGCACGGCTGACCAGGTTGACAGGGATGAAGAGATGGTAAAGTCGTTTATTAGGTTGCCCTCGTAGACAAGCAACAGGAGAGAGTGAGCGCCGCGTGCGCCGCAAAGCATCAAGCAACAGCCGCAAGAAATTCACCGACGAAAAGACGCGCAGACTTTCTGCAACACGGAACAATTCCAACTACCAAAGACATGTCGGGAGATACCCCGAAGATCCACGCCCGTGGAACGGTCACTTGCACACGTTTCGCTCTCAAACCATACATGAGTACTACCGCAGTAGTGTTCGAAAGGATGACATAATCCACCTCACGGACAACATGTGCTGCTTATTTTTATTTTTGACGTAGGGATGTCAACGTAAGAAACAACCAACTGTTGTATATTTTCCCATTTTTACGTGAGCGAACACGTACGTGCTGTTTCCTTTTTCGCTCCAACGTAAAAACGAGCACGTACGTGCTCTTTGTTTTTTCCGCTGAAGTAATGATTGATTGTTTGTTTGTTTGTTTCTACACTCATCTCCAAGAAGCAGCACTGGTGGTGTCGTCGCATTTGGCCGGGATGGAAGGCCAACTATCCACGGGTGTCGTGACGGACGGCATACTACGCGAGCACCCTGCTTTTGTATACGGTAACAGTTTGCCTGAAAAGCTGATGGACCTTTATCGCCAATATTTCCTTTCTTTCCTGCATATTGTGGGCGGCTGTGCTCAACGCTTCTTCTACTGCTGCTGTCGGGCGTCTATTGTTGACTTTGACAGGGTGAGATCATGCTGCTCGACTACAATCACGACATCTACCACATGCCCTGCGGCGACCTCTGCGTCACCACCTGCCTCGACCAGGCCGAGGACCAGCCCGCCTACGAGGTACCTACCTACCCTCCCCCGTGATATCCTATTCCCCTTTGCGTATCCCCTTGGACGGGTCTCTCACACTTTCTACAATTTTACTTAACCGCCCATGGGGGCATCCGTGAGCGCCCATCCAACTGGAACCAGGGTACTCTTAAACGTTAGATAATGTTCTGCTTTGGAACGGGAATTTCGTGGTCCAGTAACCCTAACGCTTAACCCTAACCCCAAGCCCAAGCCGATACGACGCGTGCTAGGTTGGCGCTCTGGGTCGCTAAGTTCTATGTAGGTGGATGTACCGGTGGCGAGTTGTATGAAGTGCCCACGGTGGCCTCTTCATTTGCGGCCCATGGGTGCCCAATAGGTGTCCCATGGGCGGTTTAGCAAAACTGCCAGTAGTGTGGGAGATTACCCCGGACATACGCCCTTCGGCGAAACAATCAAGAAAGGCTTTGTGAGGGGCCAAGTCCATCATGATGCTGTGACTTTCTGCCTGAACACTCTCTCTTCCTGGCATCCCGTTTGCACTCCGCGTATCCCCCCTGGCATCCCTACTGAGGCCACCTCGTTAGTGGCTGTGCCTGTTGGTAGGTTCTTGGCGTCTAGACGCTCAATCGATGAGAAATGGATTCCGCCGTCTCTACAAGGCATAGATGTACGTGGTGACGCACCGTAGGGGTGGGAGAGAACGCACGGGTCGGTGATATCGCACCCCCGCGGCGCGATGAACGTATATCGTTGAAATGAGTTAGCTCAATTATCGCACGGGGATCAGTGATATCGGACCCCGGTGCGATGAAACAGACAGAGCAAAATCTTGTAACATCGACGGTGCATTGTCTCGCGTTCCTGCGGTACTCGACCCCTTGCTTTGCTGTGCTCATGCAAAGGGATTCATTTACGGTTTCTTCGGTTGTTGTTGCTTCTTCTCGTTGACTCGGGTGTTGAGCTTCATGCAGCATGCTCGCATGTTTCTGTGGGCCTGCTCCAGTGTGACCGAGATGCAAACACATACGATCGATCGATAGGTACTGTAGTCTAGGTCCTGAAGAAAGCGAGTGACAATCTGCGAGGAGAGATGTAACAGCAGTATTGAAGGGTGGATGGGTTCGCGCTGAACCCATTTTCGGACTCGGTTGAGTTTGATGTGATGCGCTGCAGGCAGCCTTTTCAAAGGGCAGCAGCCTAGAAATATTAGTTGGTGTAAATCGAACGTACTGGAGCCTCACCGACGCACGCTTTTCTCCTCGTCCTTCTCCACTCCGCACCGACCCTCTCGTGTTCCCTTCTGACTCGCGAATAAATAATATTCTGATAATGTTTCCGTGCGTGCGTGCGTGCGACGGGGGAACGGCGGACTGCAGTCGCTAGGGTGCTTCGCCGACGATGTCAACGACCGCGCGCTGCCCACCCAAGCCGACAACTGCGGCGAGGGAGAGACGGCCATGAGCCCTGCGGTGAGATATAAAGTAGGTCAACTCTTATGTGAAACATGGCGCCTGACGGCAAGGGGATCATTTATGGAGACCCTTGTTTCATGACATTGTGTTTAGCGTCTCCTTGTCCTTCGTACTAAAGTTAATGCCAGTCGCTCCCCTGGATACGACGTGGTCTTCGGAAACAACGACACATTCATTCGTTGCAACGCTACTGAGGAGACGTCCAGTTTTTTTGTCGAGTACCAGTTTTTGTGTTTCCCATATTTTCTTCCCTCCCTGCCGTGCAGCTGGTGCCTATTCCCTCCCCTTGTTTGTCTGTCTGTCTGTCTGTCTGTCTGTCTGTCTGTCTGTTGGTCGGTCGATGGGTCGTTCTCCACGAAGATCTGCGCCTCCTTCTGCGAGACATTGGGCTCCACCTTCTTTGGCGTGCAGTACTCCTTCCAGGTCTGTCTGTCTGTCTGTCTACTGTCTCACAGTACGTGTACCTTCCGATCGATCTATGATCTCCCTTCCAGACTCGGCACGTGCACTTATCAGGTACATAGCACCCCCCGCACGTATGCAGTAGTCACAGCGCAGAAACAGCGCTCCTTCCAGGTGAGGGGCGAAAGCTCGAACCCGCCCCTAAACGCAAGCGAGAAAGTATATTTTTGCATGTGAAAAATAAATAGCATTGGACTCGTTAGAAAACCTTAACAGCATACATACACACCAGCTTCCATGTATTATTAATTGGGGGTCGTTGGTGGTCGTCATCTGTCGCGATCAATCGACTTATCTCTTTTCTCCAGACTTCACAACGTTTGTTAATGAACATGCAGAACGCGCCCACTCTCAAGTCTAAATTGTCCCCGTGGGATTAGATGAATGATCACCGCCGCCGTGCGTGGACGCATTTTTCGCTTATCATATCTCCGCTTTCACTCCCGGACGCGACCAGTGCTTCTGCGGCCCGTCCACTGCTGACTACGAAAAGCACGGATCTCTGACTTCCGACAACTGCGAGTACCTGTGCGAGGTGAGTGGCGAGTAGAGCAACTTATCTTTTGGCGGACTGATTTGATTTGTCATCTCCTAGCCATGGGTTTGACAACAAGTCACCATGTGCAGCTGCTATGTACGCCCGAGAAATAACCGCCTCGTACGTCATGCGAATATTCTTTTCTCAGAATGCTTGCCCTTGCCGCTTCCATTATTCGTTGCGAGTAACTGTTCGAGGAGAATGACGAGCAGAACAACCCACCGCCCGGTCCCTGAGTACCTACCTGTCAGTGCGATGTAAAAAGCAAAGGATAGAGTAACAAGGTGGTCGTCTGGTACGGACTGAAAACAAGGCGTTGGTGTAGACTAATGACTTGACACTTCGACGAGGTAAGCGAAGACTAGAGCAGCCTCCCACACGAGGCGTTTACATGTATGTATGTCCAAACAATGGTGGTCGTCGTCTGCTGCTCAGGGAGACTATTCGTCTCTCAAAATCTTTTCTTGCCACCACCTTCTTGGTTTGCTGCGAGTACCTACGTACCTGTGGGAAGAAAGTGAAGAATATAGCGGGCCACTTGACCTACATGGCTTGTCGTCTCCCATAGGCTGACAACAACAAAGGCGCTCTCTCTCTTCTATCGGTTTGTTCCTACTTGTCGCGTACGTCCCTTCAGGCGAACCCTGTCTGAAGTATGCATACGACTGTGTATTTCCCCGAAAAATATTCGCCGTCGGACATTCACCTTTTCTCGGAATATACTTTTGTGACTCTCGCTTCTTTTCATTGTATTTTTTGTTTCGTACGTCCCTTCAGGCCTACCCGGAGGAATTCTGTGGTGGATTCAGCACCATGGAGGTGAGCCCCACTGCTTTGGAGGCGGGTAGATTGCTGTCAGAAGCGCAGAGAGAAGACAGTTGACAAGAAAACCTTGTACATTTACTATGAAGTGCACCGGGCATGCTTGCCCCATGCACGTAGAACGGACAGGCCACCAATGATACACTACACCCCCTACAGATCGCCGAATTTCCGCATCCCGTGCGAGGTAACCCCCCCCACCCTCCTTTTTTCGAGATACGAAGACTCTTGGGGATGTAGGCTTGTGGATGTTGACGATTGTCCACTATCGGTTCTCGAAGAGTTGTTGTCGATTGTCGTCGAAAAATGTCCTAGTTTGTTCTTGAGTTGGTGCGTGCTCTTTCCGCAGTGTGTCGCGCGAGCAGAACAAACCCCATGTAGCAATGACCACTGATGTACATGAGCACCCGATTGTGTAATCTTGTAGTCACAGGTCAAAGGTAGAACTCAAGTGCTGCATGTTAGCCTGTACGTGTCCTGTACAGCTGCAGCGCGGCGTATCAACTCACTTGTTGTGCCGCTGGACTCTTGGTACGAGAGGCTTGGTTCTGAGTACGCACGTCCGAAGGGGAGATGGGTTGGTGGAAATGTAGTTTCTTGATCAGTGGAGACCAGAAAGAATGTGGAGGACCAGTTTGAAGCCACAGAGGTCGAACTCTCCAGAGAAGCAGAGGGTTGTTGTTGTTGTTGTTTTTCTTCACGTTAAACTCGTGTCAGTTGCTCATCCCAAAATCTAGCAAAGACTCGGTCCGTGGTTACAAAAATGCCAGAGCCATCAGAAGATCTAAAGAACACACACACTATTAGGAAGAAAAGGGTACACAAGCCCGAGGAGGTACACCTACAATCCCTGCAGCACGTTTGCGTGCTCACAACTGAACTACACGCCCACACACTACAAATCGACTACAGCAGCAGCATCACCCCCCTTGTCCCGCATTTAACCAAAATGAATGTTTGTCGACTACAGCGTACTGCTGTCTGAAGTGCTGTCTGTACAATAATAACGCCATGGCGCATGGTACACAAGCTCGGGGCATGCAGCTGCTGTCTGAAGTGCTGTCAGAATGAGTTCGTGGACATACAATGAAGAACACCCTACCAAAGCCATCAATCATTGCAATTGACGATCACCCGAATCTATCCAGATCATCTATGTTAGGCACAGCAGTGTAAACANGCCATGGCGCATGGTACACAAGCTCGGGGCATGCAGCTGCTGTCTGAAGTGCTGTCAGAATGAGTTCGTGGACATACAATGAAGAACACCCTACCAAAGCCATCAATCATTGCAATTGACGATCACCCGAATCTATCCAGATCATCTATGTTAGGCACAGCAGTGTAAACATCGACACTGACCAGGAATCGTTCCACATTGAAGGGGTCTTCAACGATGCAGGTACACAATTAAGGCACCCAGGTTATCCGCGCCATCTCTGCCGCGTCTCTATAGAAAACCAGTGACGTCATCACACACATCCAAACACCTACGGTATATTCAGGAAAAAACGGAAAAGTAGTTGACAACACAAGAGATGTTTGTCCGTGCGCCACGGTTCAATGCCATCCGCATGCTCCGGTTCCGCTGCTCCGGTTCCGCTGCTCCGGTTCCGCTGCTCCGGTGCCGCTGTGGCCATTCCTAGCACGACCAAGCTCGACCCGCTTCGCTTCGTACACGCTCTCGTTGCTGTCCTTCCCAGCCGGTTCCTCGCGTTCTCCCTCGTTGCACTTAGGGTTCTTGGTCTGAGAATTCTCGCGCCGAAGGGTCAACCAGCCCAATCAGCTCGTCACCACCTACCTGTCCCCTCCTCCTTTGATAGCAAAACCAGGTTACTGAGACAGTACAGCGCCTTCTAGCAAACCTAGGGACATGTACATAGTGCCCGTCTACCTTTCTGATGACGTCTGCCTCCGCGCACAAAGATGAGATGGGCATTGCTGCC